CTATGCTAAAAGTTTTACCTTGGAACTAAAGAGTTTAAAGCTCTGCCACTGGATTGATGTGTCAGGAGTTGACACCAGGAGATGCACATCCTACAGGAAAGCTGAACACAATTCCACCTGTGCTGTGAACACGATTTGTCCTCATACCAATGGAAAGGAAAACTCTTCACACTTTGTCCAAATGCCAATGGAAAGGAAAACTCTTCACACTTTATCCAAATGCCAATGGAAAGGAAAACTCTTCACACTTTATCCAAATGCCAATGGAAAGGAAAACTCTTCACTTCACAATGCATTTGTGTGTCTGTGCAGCTGAGATCCACCCTGCACTCCTCAGAACAAAACCAGAGAAACAACGCCCTGGGAAAACAGGCCTGGCAGAATGAACACCCCGCAGGCAGCGTGGATGGTGGGGGCACAATGGGGTAAAATATCCCACCCAGATGAAATGGAAAATCAAGTGAAGGAAATCCTGAGCAAGTCTAAGGATAGCTGTTTGAGTAAAACAGCAAACGGGTGGAGCGGTAGATAAGGCCTCTAACTCCCTGAAAATCTGCACTGGAGAAACACAAAGAACAAGGCAACTGCAATATTTGAGAACCACAAGGGAAGGCCAAAGGAAGACTGCAAAGCAGTGCAAAGGATGGCATTGGGATCCAAAGAGAGCTCAGATGGCTTCAAAGTCTCAGAAATATTTCAGATGAAGGCCCAACAATATGTTTTTACATGGTTGTTAACAGTACCTAAAGGAAGAATCTTTTTARATGTCTCTTCAAAATCTGGAGTCAACAATAAGCTCAGAATAAACAAACACAACCTCAAGCACATTCTGCAAGAGAGAGGAGGTAGATTGACTGCAGAGAATACGAGATGCAGTCATTGTTAGGCTAAGACACAACTCCATGCTCAGGCTCTTGGGCCATGGTTCAAGAGTGACTTTTGCCTGGCTGCATATTTTGTTCTGTTCCAAAYGAGCCTGAGAAGCTCTTTGGGGTATTGAAAGCATCCAAAGACAGCAGGGCTGCTCCTCTCACACTCCTCATGTGAGTTCTGCTGAGTGGGGCAAAAAAAAGCCAACTTTTGCACCAAACAACTGACTGCACACAAGGTCACAAATCTGCATCCAAGCACAACTTGGAACAACTTAAAATTCAGACCTAATCCATCAGATTTACCTAAGACAGTCCACTGAGAGAACGGATGACCCAACACAGCTTTTCCCTTATAACTGAAAGAGGATCTCCCATAAAATCTGCTTTGCTTAATATTAATGAAATTTGCATCATGACTGCAAAATGAGGAATCTTGTGTTTCAGTACAACCCTCGGTACAGCACAAACCTTCACCTGCCTGCTGAGCCTGACCACTGATGAACTGCTGCTGTTCCACCATTTGAAAAAGGTGCCAACACCCAAAACTTCCAAGCTGTGTTATTTTAAAAGAGTTTATTCAAATCACCCCCTTTAAAAAAAATGAAGTTAAATGGCTTTTTTTCCTCATTCACTACAAACCCAGTTAGTGAGTGGTAAATACCATGATACCATTAGGAAGAGCTGTGTAGGGAAAGGCACCTGTTCTTAAATAGTGTCCTGATTTGAGGGTTATTCAGAAATGGTTCCATAGGGCACATCASCTTTCCAACCATCTTCTGTGGCACTCCTGTCTCAAATGGTGGGTACTACCATGAACAGCAGCCTGGATGCATGGTTTGTGATGTTACCCATTAACAGATGGACTGGAAAAAATAAACATTCAYTGGCACCCCACAATCTGCAGAATATTACATATGGCTATCCTTTTCATACTTTGTCTGACTGGGATGCAAATATTGTCCCAGCTCTACTCTGACAACGTTCAACACAYACAGAATTAATTACACACAAGCATTTGGAAGCAACTCTCACTATCAAATCATTACAAGAAAACAAAAAAATGAGAGATGAACAAAACCCCCAATACTTTAGAGCACAGCTCCTCTTGCAAGTGGCAAAGTTTGGCTTTAGCTACGAGATCACAGCAGTGCTTTCAGAGCTGTAAATCTGTATTCTCACAGGTTCCCTGGGTTCTTACAGGGGAGTCTGCAGAATTGTTGAGAACACACAGCTTTTCCTGGCTGCACACAGGAGCCCACTCAGCCAACACCTCATCAGCTTTTAGAGAAAAGAGGAAAAGGTTGGTATACAGTTCTTAAACACATAAAATTTATCTCTTAAGAGACCAAACTGCAATGAGAAGAAGGGTGAAGAGCCTTCCACAAGGCACTGCTTCCTCAAGAGTCCCAGGAACAAGGTGGAGTGACACAGAGAAAAGGGTGACAAATGCACTTGGAAGCTCAAAGCCTGCTTTAATATTGATCTCAAAGAGCAAACGGTGTTTGGGGAATGTTTTAAGAGACCAAATGTGGGATCATTGACTTTCTGCCAAGAACTCTGCCCAGTGCTCTCCTGGAACCTCTCAGAGGAGCAGCAAAGCTTGGAGTGCAATAAATGGAGCAAAAAGCATTAAATAGTCCAAGGGACTGCTCTCTGTGGCCAGGTCTGTYTAAAATAGATATTGTTCTAGGTTAACACATTTACGTGGCAGTTTAAAATACAGCTTAGACACTTACACAATTTCAGTCAGGATGAGCTTAAGGTGCTTTTTTTTCAGTTAAAAAGAGYTCAAGAGCTATAGTAAAAACATATAGACAAGTTTAGGCAGCTTGAATTCTGCAAAATGATTACAATTAATTTCTGAAACCTAGTTTCTTTTTTGTTCACATTATCAGTGATGCCATAAGGCCAAAGACTACAGAAGAACAAAATGCAGTTTAACTAGGATCCTTTACACTAAGCAAATCTATAGAGCATGTAGTACAAGACTCACAGACCAGTGAAAAGGAAAGCTCACACTTACAAAATAGTTTGCTCTTTAATTCTCTTCCTCTTTATTAAGTCAGAAAATCTCAGTCACTATAATAAGACTCCTTTGAAAGCCTCGACAAAATTACATTAGCAATATTCTAAATATTGGGAATGATACCAAGTTAAAAATACACAATTCATCCCAGCACCAGCTGGCCAAGCTGCTGGTATTTCTTTCCAATAGAAGAAAGAAAATACTACATACATTCAACACAATTTAGTATCCAACTGAAAGCTACTATGGTTTGTTGAATTCAAGAAGAAAAATGCAATATGAAGTAGAAACAACTTTCTGTAAATATGGGCCACCAAATACTTGAACATTCCTTGGGTCACCTTTGAAGATTTGCTAACTACTTTAAACAGCTATATGTACAGTCAGAGATYACCCTGATTTAACTTGATGGATACTGAGAAAATAAAAATCCTTTGGAAACATTTTTCCTTGCTAGAAATCAGAACAGCCACAAACAGCCCAGCATCACCATCCCCAGCACAGAGCTCTTCCAGCAAAATCAAAACCTTGCAGAGGCAAAGGACACGAACTCAGAAGAGTCTGAATGGAACATTCCCTGGGGACTGAGTGACAGAATTGTCAGGGCTTTAGGATCATCCATTGCAGCCTCAAACACCAAATCCCCTCTGAAGCACATCCCCAGTGCCACATGAGATCCTCCTGAACCCTTCCAGAGCAGTGACTGCATCTCCTCCCTGCACAGCTCATTCCAATGCCTGAACACTCTTCTGGGATCTTTTCTTCCTGATTKGAACTCTCCTGGTGCAACAGAAGATCATTTCCTTTCATCCTTTCACCTGAGACACGGGAGGAGAGGCTGCCCCACCTTTGGGGTGCACAGAGCACTGTGGTCCCTGCTGAGCCCCCTTTTCCAGACTGAACCCCCAATCCCTTTTCCAGACTGAACCCCCAATCCCTTTTCCAGACTGAACCCCCAATCCCTCAGCCTCGTTCACATTTGTGCTGCAGAGCCTCCAGCAGCTCTGCTGCCCTAAAAGAGACATTCACAGTGTCCTCAGAGCCCCTCTCTCTCAGACAGTGCTTTTGTGGGGGATTTCATGCCATCAGCCCAGTCCAAAGCAGGGCTGATGTAGCTCTGGCCAAGCAATGAGTCTGACAGAGACTGCTGAAATAAATGCTAAACTCTGACAGTGACAACAAATAAACATCACAATGTCTTTCCTGGATGCCCACTGAACTTAGAAAAAAAACTGAATAGCCTTTCATATCTACTGTATTTATATATGCTATATATATGATATATCAACACAGTATATATCATATATATATAAACATTACATATCATATCTATCTATAGAAAAATCACATGCACTTTTCTTGCAGGCAACTGACAAAGAAAGAATTCCTATCYTGTAATTTTTCAAATTTAGTGAATTTTAGTGATTTCTAGTCCTGGACAAACCTGATGTGACATCCTTCCACACTGTTCTTTCTGACAGCAATTTTTGCAGTAGTGTTGCCCAATTTGCTGTTGTTGGAACTTTGGTGACTCAGGAGGTGCTGAACAGTGGGTCCAGTTTGCATTGGTACCCAATAGGAAGTTCAGCTTTTACTGCCTGGCTGCTTCTGTTAACTGCTATGGCTAAATCATCAAATTTACATTCAGCTTAACCTCTTTTTGGAAAAGACAGTGGATTTGCAAGTACAGGACAGCATCTAGAAAACAAACTGTGCTGYAGAGTAATGAGGGAGTAGAACTAATGAGTTTAAAAAGGAAAGATTGTATTGTTCTGACACTACAGGCCTGGCTCTCACTTATTGCACAAAGTTTAGACTGGCTTAACTCTTTTGACTCCAAAGGCTCAGCTTTGATTTCTTTACTGGTAGCAACAGAGGAATCAGGTGTGTAGTAGCTACACGTGACATTCACAAGGTAAAGGCAGTTTGAACTGTGCTGTACAGGAGACTGGAACCCAAAATCTTGGATTTTGCTGGGACTGGGAGCTGAACTGGGTATGGGAATATTTGGATGGTAAGACCTAAGGAGAAATCAAGTTGCATGGCAACCTTCTCCCTCAATATCCAAATATCAGATTCGTAGCTTTAAATACATCCTGAAATATAATAAAAAAGTGCAAGAGTAGTTTAAATTCTAATACAGTGTTTATCTTATTAGTTAATAGATTGCTAGAGATGTAAAATACACATATGCATAAAAGCTTATACCATGATCTGCAGTGCCATGCTATGCTTAAGTGTCCAAGTTTTGCATTTCACTTGCAATTCATGCRTGTTTCTTTGGTTTTCACCCCTGCTATTAAGTGGAAGAGCACCTGCTTTCGCTTGTAGTCATGGGGCACTTTATTCTCTTTAGAGGAAACAAAAATTTGGTACTTGGGCTCTGTGCTCTTGGTGCAGAAATCCCRTTAATATTACTAGGAAAGCTAAGGACACAGGGGAGAACACACCACATTTAGGTTACTGTACAGTTCTGCAGTCTCTTGCATCTAGCCAACACTTCCAACAAAACAGCCCATCATAAAGCTTGGAATTGAATGTTGTCTTTTGTTGTTACCAATAATGCTTATAACACTGGGCTCTCACAGCCAAGTGAGATTCATACTGTTACAGTCACGTTTATATCCACATTCAACTTCCTTTTATTAGAAGTATAATACTGCACTTTATATCACAAATGTATAAAAAATATGGCAGATAGTGTCATAACAATACTTTTCTTTTAAATGAGTATATTTAAAAAACAGACAGTTATTTTCCATTTATATATATATTTATATATAGAATAAAATACTCCTGATGCAATATATAAATGTTACTGTTAGTTTTTTATAGAAACTACCGTAGCTGTTGCACTGCTTCACAATGTTTCAAACAGCTCAAAATAACTTTACATTATAACATAAAAGATATGATTATAACAGTACGATATTAGGTCATCATAAATAAATATTACAAATCCTATCAAATATGGAAGTTTAAAAAACAAATTTAAGACATACAATTTAACTTTAAACCCTTAACGGGGATACACTTTTATCACATAAACCCCACTGTTTTAACTAGGCAGCAAAAAATGTGGTAAGGGCATAGGTCTGGACAATGTTTTCACCCTTGGAAGTGCCATCCACAGCAGAAGTCCCCCAGCTTTCAGGCAGAGATGTGCACTGAGCTGGAATGTAAATGAGAGAAAAGGGCAATGCGTTTTCTCCCTGAGCAGCACACTCTGCCTGGCACCAGGGACATTCTGCTGACGCCAATTCCCAGCTCAGCAGTGTCCTGTACAATCCCTGGCCGTGTCCGTGGTGCTGCACACCCACTGCACACACATTGCACATTTGTAGCACTGGAAATGCAGTCTCACCACACAACACCACGCTCGGGCTGCTCTCACCATCCAGGGCACTACAACGCCGTCTCCTTCAGGTCGTTGAGGTTGGGCATCCGCGGCCGGTTCGTGCGGCCGTAGCTGTGCCCGTTCTGGCTCTTGGGGGGCTGCTCGGGGTAGGGGGACGTGTCCCCCACRGCTCTGGGGACAGGGGACACGTGCCAGGAGGGCTCCAGCTGCCCGGGGATCTGCAGGGTGGCTCTGCCCTTGGGCTGTGCCTCGGAGCGCACGGCGCCCGCGGAGCTTTGGCTCATGGGGTGGATCCGCACCTCGGCAAAGGAGCCCTTGGCTGCCTGGCTGGGCAGGGGCTGGAAACGAGAATCTGCAGCCACGGGGTGGTTCGAGGACAGGTGCAGGAGCTTCCGAAGAGACTTCAATGGCTGGCTCTGGAAAACATGGACAAAAGCTCCATCACATCAGATTTTCCATAAAGGAAACTGTCACATCCTAAACCGAACATCTCGAACTTCCCAGCACTTCTTCACCTTTCACGTGTGTTTGATGTATTTCATTCCAAGCTACGATTCCACACCTGAGAAAATGTCTTCTCATCACAATCCAATCTATCAGCTACCTGGAARGATGGAACTCTTCTCCATCAGAAAGGAGAATCCATTCCATCCATTGCTCCCATCAATGATTTTATCCTCGTTTCCTTCAAAAATGCAGGCACAGACAATTGCAGAAACTGTCCATCTGTTACGTCTTCTGCTATTAAGTTAAGAACCTCAGCCACATTTTATGAAGCACAGATTTCAGAAATACAAAGTTCTTAAAAATGTCATGAACATCAATTATGGGTTAGATTGAGTCTTGAGTAACCATCTGCACTGAAACGAGGTGTGGCAGAACTCAGCAGTTACACATTCTGTCTGCTGGGTGATGGGAGCTCTGGTCTCCCACAGCTTCTTTTACTGGAAAGGTTAAAGGGAAATGGTGACAGTGGGTTACTGAAAATGGGAGCAAGAGCCTGGGGAAGCCTGAGCACACAGAGCGGGGTGAAAGCACTCAYTGAACTCCACAGCTCACAGAGAAACTCGATTCTTCCAACACTGCAGCTGCAACAAACCCTTGTCCAGTTTGCAGCGGGACAACAATGGAGCACGGCACTGACCCTCCCAAACCCTGCTCTTGTTCTGGAGAAGAAGCTGCACTAACACAGWGCTCTGTGCTCCAAATGCAGCTGCTGGGACTGCACTATGGTGTGACAGCCACACTGGGACTGCTCTGGATGCTCTGGTGACACAGCAATGTCAAATGAGCAGCAGCCACCCCTGAATTCACCATCCTGACAGAGCTCTGGACAGCACTGCTCTGCCACCACACAACACTCAACACTGGTGYCTGTAATGCAAAAACGTGACCAATATTTTGAGGGGCTCAAAGGACAGGACATTTATTCTCTTTTCCTTGTCAGTCACGTCCACATTTTGAAATAGTAATGCAGGACTGCAGGTACATGATCTTTTACATCCGGTGAGCAAGGAATTAGAAAGTTGGGAAACCACGTCAAATGCAATTTTTCTGTTCAGCAGAGATACATCAGTGCTATTAATGCACAGGGAATTGAAAATGCCACTTACATGAGGCTGGATTTCTGTCATCTTCTCAGGATGCCAATCCTTCTGCCTGCTGCTCTGGTGATTGGAAGAATGAATGGCTTTCTGTAATGCCAAGAGATCCTGACCTTCAGTGTTAGGCATCTGCAACAAAATATGAAATACCAGTCCTCTAATATTTTCTTAGGATTACTATGAACAGTTTCCCACAGTTAATTACAGAGCACAAGTGAAGCAGAATTGCAATGTCCTCTCARTAATTTCCCCACATTTAGTGCAGTGTGGACATCATGCAGATTTGCTCCACCCTCAGCCCTTAAAGCATTCACATGCTGTTAGTGTCATTTGCTGKAAGAAAGAGCAGTTAAACAAGGCCTCAAAAATAAAATTTAAAAAAAAATATATTGTTGAGCCTCATCTTCATTTAAAAAGCATTCCATACGGCAGTTAAGACCATGGATCAGTTCTATAAATTTGTTCCCAGAATCTCTCTGAACTGATGTTTTAACTGACATCACAGAACCAAGAGCTTTCTCTGTTCCCATCATTCTTCTCCTCCACGAATATCCCAAACTAAAGCAAAAATTAAACAGCTGAAACTTTATGGCAGAAGGATAATTTAAAACTTACATGTAGCTTTTTATCTCATTTCAAGAATTCTAAGCAAAAAAAGGACAGTCAAAATATAATGGATTTTTAATRCAAGCTGTCTTTTACCATGAACAACCAAGACAAACAAAAATACAACAGACACATGAGCTGAAGTTCTGTTCAGATAATCCATTGTTAGTATTTGATTTATTTATATATAAAGGAGTAGTTTGTATAAAGTTATGTATTCACAATATAGCTGTAAACCAAACCAGGTTATTTTTTTTCCTGAACAAGACAGTTTTATTTTAAACATACACAGTTTCACAATTATTTTCCTTCCTYAGTCTTACTCACAAGGCTCATTCTCTGTGGAACTGTGTATGTTACATTTTCACTATATTAAATACTAAAAGAATTTTTTTTTAGGCACAATCTGTTTCAACAGAACTGCCATTTTTACTTAAATTTATTGAACTGGCCCAAGATACTTAACTGGCATGAAGAGGAAGTGATACCATGAAAATAAACCACATGCTGCTGTAGTCAGTAAAACAAATTTACTGGAGAATTTTACAGTGCTACTGTACTTAAAAATGAATACCATTGGTAGAGTGACTACGGGAAGTTTTTTCAAAGAAGAACTATGCTTTAAATTACTCTTTGAATTAAAAAGAGGAAAGAGTGATTTCTTGATGCTTGGATTCTCGCCGTTGGTGGAGTCTGTCTGCAATATAAGACACAAAAACTAAATGCTYAGTGTTTCAATTCAAGAGATCTGCCCTTACTGTGTTAATTCTTTTCTTTACTTTCTTTTTTTTTTTATTTTTTAATTTGACAATACATGTTATAAACACTATAATTTGCTTTGGAAAAATACATTAATGATTGGAAAAAGCCTGTGGGATTAATTCAAGGAACTCAATGCATAGAAAGCATGTATACAAAGATCAGTACACCTATTCTCACATCCATATTCATTAGGAATGTAATAAATACAGAATGGATTTATTTCAAAGCCTTTGGAAACAGCTGGTAGGTCTTGTTGATTTTATTGAGCTTTGGATCAAATCCTGTAACTCTGGCAATCATTTGTATTTCTGATAATAACCTAAAGCAGCATGACATTTCTTATTTTTATACAAAGAAAATATTAAAGACACACTAACAATAATAGCAGTTGGTTTCAGAATGAGCAGGTGATAGTTACTCTAGGAAAAAACAAAGCTTTCTATTTTTAACTTGCAAGAAGAGCCAGGGTTCCAAGATGAATTATTTCAGTTCTAACATAAATATGCAATCAGCAACTTCACATATAACTCAAGTACACGGCTTTATTTTAATTTCTGTAGCACAACCACAGAAATACCCATGGATGCATGAACAACAAACAGAACTATCAGGTACTYGAATTATGAATGGGAATATTTCTGCCCTGCTCAGGTGCAAATAAGCACAGGACACATTTGCTGTGCCTTGCATTTTCCTGCCTATCAGAAGAAAACTTTATTATACAATAGAATTATTGTAGGACTAAATAAAATAGTGGATGCACTACCAAAAACAAGGAGTTTCAGCTTCTAAATTCTACCCAAGTTAATGAAAGTCAGCAATCAGCAYAGCTCATGTTTAGGAACTTTATGGTCAGAAGAATTTCCTGTTTCAAATTCAGTAACTAAAAAAGGAATCAAAGAATTGCTAAGAAAAACGCTCACCTGCAACTGTAATGAAGATAATTTCTTGAAATAAGTGCCCAAAATCTGCAAAACTCAGATTCCTCTGAAGACAGACAGTGCCTACTGGGACTGTGCACAACCCCACGGATATCACATTGTTTGGTGGCAGGTGACAGATCAAACGGTGATTTTAAACCTCTAAACCTTTTGCTACACAACTAAAACACCTCAAAGGATGGAAAGGGAACGGCTGAGAGCAGCTMTGCAAACACAATATTGCAAAGAATTCCCAGAGCAGGCAGTGACAATTGTTATCCACTGGAGAACTGCAGGAAAAATCCCTCATGGAACAACCACAGCAGGAAGCACCAGGAAATGGGGTCAGTTCTGGGATTTTGAGAATGACATCAACAAGAAGATGTCTGCAATCCCATTTCAGGTATCTTTTATGACTCCTGTGATGATGATCACCAGCAAATGAGACTTGCCAAAGGGTATCAGAATTAAATCACAGCTATTGTGTGGTTCCCAGCTTTGGGACAGTCCTCAGGTCTGGTTTGTGATTTACTGGAGAAAGCCTGGGTTTGAGTCAATAACTGCAATTTCATACTTGTAGGAATCTGTATCAATTACAGAAAAAAAACCCCAAAAACTTGGGTAGTCATAAGGTGTCTCTTAAGAGTTTTAATCTGAATTCATAGGAAATGTGCACAGTTGAAGAGCTGATTTTACAGTGCTGTGAACAGCTTTTACTRCTGAAGCAAAGCTTGCTGCTGAATTGAAGGCAGGAATTTTTGTTTGTGCTGGAAGATCCTAAAGGATGTCCCAACATTTGTTAGGTAGATGTTTTCAGCTAACAGATGAAGAACCAAAAACAGGGTCTGAACTTGCAGGACAYGTGAACACTCATCAGTCTGTCCCTAATACTGTCCTGGTAAACTGTACACAGAAATGAAAGGAGGATTTTCTGCCTCTAGTTGGATCCAAAACTGAAGCTGATCTCAGCAAGTTTGTAGCTGAGGATGAGAGAGTTGTATCACTACCTTATCTCACAATTTATTTATTTTTCTGAGAGATACCAGCCCTAAGTATCAAACACAGTTTTCCCTTCTCTCCCTCTCCATTCCCCTCTACCCTTCTCCTTAAGAGTGAGAACAAACAGGAGTAAGGGTTATCTATAAATCTGCTTTATCTTGTAATCAGTGATTGTTTTGGTAGCTATAGATCAAGGTACTTTTGATTTGGGTGTTTTGTAAAATGMCAAATTTCGAGAGGCAACACAGTCCAGGATGTATTTCTTTCACACAGTTTAATCTGGAAGTAATTAATGCTCCATCCATCAGCTATTGGAGTGTTCTCTGCCACCATGTCTGGATGGCTGGAATCAGAGTAAATTAAAAATCAGTGCAAATTTAACCTTTTTTTTTTTTTCCCTTGAAAATGCACCACTGGAACCAACAGCCTTTTGGTTTGCTATCCTTCCATGGCAYTTTGGTACCAATAATCCCAGATATAATGCAGACACGTGCTCAGCTGTGCAGTAAAATGCTCACATTTACACTGAACTGTGCACAGGTTTGAGCTGAACAGTTCAGAGGGAGGGGCAGATCCACTGCTGAGCCTGCCCAGCACAAGGAGAGGAACATTTCTGAGTGCAGTTCATGCTCATGTGCATGATCCACACAGCTCAAAGACATTAAAAACCCCAAAACAACAAAAAGCCTGACAATCACCCCTCTGTCCCCATTTCCAGCCCTGCACCAACACCCAGACTCAGAACACTTTATTCCCTGACAGTAAATATTTTAATGAAGTCACTTCCCTTTGCCAGGAATGATTTACTCCATCCTGAGAATCTTCAAAACTAGAACTGCATTTACACTTACAGGAACATTTACATGTTCAATTCATGTTTATAAAAACATTTAAAATGTTTTACTGCTTCCAGAGCTTACATTTGAGATTACATTTAGTTCTTAGGGATATCTTCATTATAAAACTTGGTGAGATGTCAGTAYACCACTACTTTCTGATAAAAGAAASTGCTTTCTCCCTCCCAAAAACTATCCAAAAATGAAAAAATGTATGAGACACCAAAGACTTATACTGAATTAAAAAAAAGGCACAATCCATTCCYTGAAGAAAACATAAAACATTTAAGAATGGTTAAGGCACATCATCCTCATTCCTTCATGGGATGCAGCAAGAAGCACAGGCTGTTACCAAAACACTTCTCCAAAATAAACTGGAAAGAATTCTCATTTGTAACAATCTCATTTTCTCTGTATGGGTGCCTGAAACGATTCAAGCTCTGGGGACACACAACAATGAATTTATTATTCTTGGAACAGCGTCACCACATCCTGAAAAAAAAAACTGTCACACCATCATCTTAAACCTTGCTTCAAAACTGGCTCTCAAAGGGTCTGAGTGAAAACAAAGGTGCACAGGACTGGTAGGTGAAGAAATATTTGAAAAGGCAAAAAAATCAAACCTGAACAGGAGAAGAATTTCACTTTCATATAATGAAGTGAAAAAATAAAAGAACAAATATACACAAACACATAAATAATACAAAGGCACTGCACTAATCCAACACATTAAAATGGTATAGTGCAAAACGAATAAACAATTTCTTTATTAGAAATGCTGCATACTTACATTTTGAGATTTCTTCTTTTTCTTTTTTATTGCCCTGAAAAAACCTTGTTTTTCTTTCTCCTTGAGCTGCTCTGAGTGACTGTTAAGGTTTTCAGGACTTTTCCTAAATATGAAATAAGGTATTGTAAGAGAAACTTTACTTTGGTATTACTTTAATTTCTGATGCCAAAGAAGGTAAATTATTGATTAAAGTAAAAAAATACTTAAAGTTKGAGCATTCATTGGTTCCAGGGTTACTACACAAGTACCAGATTATTAAAGGGACAGGAGGTACACAGTGTTAGGGTAAAATGATTAGTTCAAACCAATGAATAGTTMTTTAGGGAAAAGGAAAGCATGCAAGTGTTCTTTAAAGCCAGAATTTAATACTCAACCCAAAACATCACACAGGAGGTGTTTTAGAAAAACGAGAAGCRGATCTGGAGCACATACAATGGTGAGGAGGTTTAACAGGTCCCGTTTATCCACGGCTTGAGCAGAGCAGGAGTTGCAAAGAGAGGAGCATTTCATGGAATTGCTGCTCTTGCTGACACAGTTCCACATTTATCAGGGATTTGGGGTTTGTTGCTGTCCATTTAACTGAAAACCTTCCTTAGTTTGTTATGTGTGGGTGAGACAGTGCTGCCAAAAGGAGTGACCCGAAAATAAAACAGGAGACTTGCCTGAAGAGAGAATTTCCACCTTTAAACTCTGAACTTACAGGCTGAAGCAACTACAGCTGATAAATAACAYGTTACCTTCAATAAGCACAGAAAACCAGGGGTGTGAAGCACTTCCATGGGGTAAAAAGATGCTTTATGGAGGACAGTGTGAGACATAACTGAGTGCAGCTCTACTGTCCTTTAAAACAGCTTGAAAATGGAAAACAGTGCAGGAAAGCATGACAGAAATCATTTCAGAGATTTCAATCTCTTTAGTGTGTTTAAAACCACAGCCAAAACAGCCCAAATATTCAGTTTCCTTGATCATGATCCACAGCTACTTATTGGGGAAGAAATTACAGAACACTACAAAAATCTTTAACTAAAGGGCAAAGGTGTAACAAGAACAGGTCGGTGGATGATGAAGCCACAGAAGTGTATCAGAAATAAAGCACTGGTTTTCACAATAACATCATTAACTGCCAGAACAAACCCCCTGGTGAAGTGATTTCCCATCTTTACATTTCAAATCAGGACCAAAGACTCTTCTGGAAGRCACAGTCAGACAGCTCTGCCTCTGGCCTGGATCCAGAGAATGACAAGGGTTAAATCAACTAACACACACAGAAAGTCACACTGGGGCATTTCATAGTCCTTTTTCACCCTTAAATGGCATGAAAACAAAAAGAAATGATTCCATAGTCCTGATGGAAAAGCTGAAGGAAAGGCAGTGTTTTAGGGCTCAGTGACAMACAGGAGCAGCTTTTCCTGCAGTGACTGTGATGTACCCTTCATGTCCACCACAACTGTCACTGCCTTCCAATTCTGGCTCTGAATGCTCTGCTGTCACTGGGGATTCAGCTGCTACTACAGCCAAGCTGACTGGTTTTCTTTCTGAGCAAATGTGAAAAACATGCTTGGGGTAGAGATCACTGGAGCCATCCTAATAACCAATAAAATTATCTTCACTCTGGGAGGTGGTGTCAGCTCCTCAATTTCTACTTGGGGTAGATATCACTGGAGCCATCCTAATAATTGATCAAATGATCTCCACTCTGGGAGGTGGTGTCAGTTCCTCAGTTTATATCTCAAGCTTGAAATGTTACCTGGTTCCACATATAAACACATGCAGGGTTTAAATTAATGAAGTGAAACTGTTGATTAAGAGAATGGTTTTAGCAAAAAGATTAATAGGCAGGGAGTATGGTTGAAATTTTCCTGATTTTGATTTTTTTGGAACTTCTGTCTAGATCCAGGGAATATATTCAGGTGCATGACAACATATATTTAATGTGGATATTACAACACTACTACAGGAAATAATTTCTAGTTTAATATCATGAATATGTTTATAACATCACAAACATACACTGCCCTTTCRAATATTTCAATGGCTTGCTATGGCTTTTCTATTCCAAAGTCTATTCCAAAATGGAGATGCTAAATTTCAAAAGGTGAAGTTAATCTTCAGAGTGAAAACTGGAACAATTTTTGCCATACTTTTAGACAGAGATTCACCCAAGTGTGATTCTTTTCTTTGGCTCAGTGAACCTGGATGAGAAAACTGCTCAACACAGCAGAGAGGAGAGAAATGAAATTCTGCACCATCATTTCCTCTTTATGACTACAGTGAGCAGAGAGAATGGGAAAATGAGAACTGCTCATTTCCAATTGCTGCTTACCCAAAGCCAGTGGTTTTATAGTGAATGGTTGATGTCATTAACTCCTGTGACTCACATTGCAGTACAGTTATCTGAAAAAGCACTGACCTTGAAAAGCAACTGCCTCAAAACACATGCTCATTATGGGAAGAGAGTGAACATATATAGCATTACAGCAGGAAGCTTCAACACCAGGATTTTGTACTGAGTAAAAATAGAGCAGAACATTTTGATCGATGAYGAAACCCGGGGATATTTTAGGCATCCCAAAAAATGATTTTCAGAWCATGACAGTACAGTAAAAAATCAGGATTATCAGAAAAAAATCTGCATGGTATAATCACACAACACTAAACTCTTACAACATACTGCAAATATCTCAGTATTTTGCATAAAGCTTCAGCTCTTGAAAGCAATCAGTTCCACCAGAATCTGCTAAATGCTGTTTTAGCAGCAAATAGAGAAGCAGGTTTGAGAAGCCCTAGAGAATAACCCCAATTCTCAAGCAGAAACCAAAGGCAAAATGTGCTGGGCTTTGCCATTTTATCTTTGTGTATCTTCTGCACGCTTAGGACATAAAATGCAGAACACATTGGTTCTCCTGATCTGAAACCCTTGGAAAGGCAAGAACAAACAGAAATCCTGTGAGTGTCACTGTTATTTATTGCTGCAGGTAGGAAAGATTCATGCAGGGCAATGGGGGGAGCAGCAAACATGCATGTGGGGAGCAAGCTGAAGCACTGGGACAGGAGCCAGGAGGAAAAACAGAAGCATTTTGTGTTCATGATTCACAGAGATTCTACTGCACACAGCTCTTTTGGGAGGGATTCCTCTGTTTGTTTCAGTAATTCCTCAAGAACCCAAATCCCAGCAGGGTTTGGAACCCTCTGAGTGCTCCATTTTCTGATCCAATCATCAGGAAGGGTTTGTCTCACTGAGGCTTTGCTGACATTGCTGAACTTTTCTTTGCAAGATCAATGGACAAACACCAATTCTCCAAGTTCTGCTTCAAGACCCTTCAAGGGGCACTTACACAGTTCCCATTTAGGAAAGGCAAGAAAATGGCACAAACTCATTAAGATATTCAAATAAAGAGTTCAAGGTAAGAATCTCAATCCCACAAGCTGAAGCTCACAGTAAAACCTCATGGGCTAAAAGTCTGGCATTGAAAGCTTAAAWATCAAAGATCAAATCTGAATTCTGTTTGGAACTGCAATTTTTTATTTTTCATGTGGAGAGGAGGATTTATTAACTGTAATAAGCTCCAGATCTATTATCTCATATACAGAATATCATTCAGAATTTGCAATTTCCTGGGCTTTTTTTTAYAAATTCCATTAAAGAACCAGAAAGTATTTAAAATGCAGCAAAAGTCATGCTGTACACACAGCTGAACATGCACTAAACTAACTTGTTTAGATGTTGGTAACCTTTTACTTTCAGGAATTGCAAATGTGACTGTAATGTTACACTGATACTGAGATAATAAAATAGTCAGTGATGTCCTGTTTATAAAATATTGAATTGTTCTGGAGCCTTGAAACATAATAGTGGAGAAAGTCTTCAGCCTTTTACTCTCGTAAGAGTGAGATTTTTTTTTTTTTTCTTTTCCTGAATGACAGGAAATTTTGTGTGTGACAGAAATTTTGTGTGTGTTTACATATATTTTATACATATTAAAAATCACTATTATATGTATAGTTCCTATTTTTKATTATTTTTGCAGATATGTATGACATATGCTAGAGAAGATATGACTCTGCATTGGTGTGGACATAAAAGGTCTGAATAAAAATGCTTTCCAGAAGCCCCWAAATATCTCAAAAGCAGTGAATACAAACACTTCCAGGAAGATCTGAGATGCAGAACTGCATGGTGGGATTTATTCTAAMGAGATTTTAGAATTATGACAATGGKAMAGATAACTCAGGCCAACCTTCTGGCACAATTAAACATCTTGCCTAAACCTAYTGATTTTGCCCAGGACAAAGCTTGTGTGAATAAAAGAGAATAAAACATCTGTTCTTGTATCAAAAATTAAAAATAGAGCAAGTTTAAGGTTATTTACAGGAAATTAAACTCTAGCAAAGAAAAGGTTTTCTAGAAGGATGAAAAATTTGCCTGCTTTCAAATCAAGCTGTCTGAAGTTGAGAAATGATCTAGTAATTTCAGAGTAAAATCTGATGACAAAAGTCAAGTTTATAACATCTTTATTTTAAAAGGCAGGACAGTGGGGACAGAGCCAAGAAATGCACACAAAGACAAGGGAACATCTGTGACAATTCAGTCCAGCAAACATTGACAGCATCTCTGACAGCAGAAAGGCAACACACAGCAATAGAATGAGAAGCAATATTTTACAGTAGTGCCAGTCCAGCTGGAATACACATCACTCAGAATTGGGGATGAATTGTCAGGTACCAGCTTGGTGTGTCAGTCAAACATCAAATATTTACTTCATCATCAAAYTGATGCAAGCAGAATCACATTCCATTAGAGCTTTCAACATTTCCATCATCATTTACACAACTTCTGTACAGAAAATTAAGCAGAGGAACACAGACTCTTCACCACTCAGGAATCTGATTAAGCTGCATTTATGGCACAGAACAATTTTGCAACCACAGTGASCATTGCCAGGACAACTTGAACAGAGTTAGCATGTAGAGCTGGGCAGGAAACACTTTGGGAAAATAGGGAGTAGGAAAAGAAAAGAGAAAGATAAGCACATGCCAAAATAGCAGTAACTTGGTGTTGCAGATACTGCTAYTCCTCCCATTTCATCAGAATAATTGCTTATTCTTCTGTGGATTCTTCTCTCAAAGGTGCTGTTCACTCTGTGAAAATATCTGAGTACATCATTTGAAGCAAAGACTTCAATCTGTCTCAAAGTTAATGAAGGGCCTTTTTCACGAGGCCATATTCAACAAATGAAACAGCTTCAGGAGAATATACTGAGGGAACCAGAAAATGTGCTCCAGAATAACCTCTAACTTCTGGTTCAGGGCATTCACTTGTTAGATCTACAATCTTGGTTCACCTTCTGGTTTAAATAACAAGGAACAAAGACCCTGCACTCAAGTTTCTCATATTCTAAAAAATACTGCTGCCTCCAAAATATCTGTTATTTTCAGAGTATCTCTGGTTTTGACTGGCAATTCCATCCTGGAGCTGAAGAATCTTCCCAATAAAGGGTTAATGGATATCAGCCAATTCCTTTGAAAAGTTTTGGTTTTGATAATTTGTCATTGTAAACAAAAAAAAATACTTCATAAAAAAAATTCCCAACCAGCTCTAATAACATATGCTTTTTTCCAGTTCAGAGTTCAAATAACATTACATGTTTCTTTGCAGTCAWGACAATATATTGCTGAATGATTTATAAAGCAAAGCAAGATTCCAGTTGTCTTATGTTATATGCAAGATAGAAAGATCCAGATAGGAAGGACAACACAATATGTGAAAGGGTTTAACAGCAGGAATAAATACCTTCTTTAGCCACATAAATCACAACATAAGTTACCACCTTTTTACACAAATGACTGCTTTCCTCAGCTAACTGCAGCAAATGGAGGAGGTGGAGCTACTGAAGGGCAGGAAGAAGATTCTGCTGAATCAGAGCAGGTGAGAAGGGTTCTGGAGTGAACATCTTCTATTACTGACACAGGAATCAAACCTGACACAGCTGAAACACCAACTGCCCACCACCCACCACCCATTCTATTTTAACACTGAGTTATTTGTTTGAAAACACATGGAGTCAACAAACCACTGAAAGGCTTTTTTAGACTTTGTGGCCTTTCAGAGAGAGGTGTTCAAAGCACAGCTGAACCATGCAAATGGATGCAGYCCATTCCTCCCACCAACCCTTTGAAGCTCCATCTGCTTATTTTTATTCAATGTGMTTTACTGTGATTTAACAAAGTATAAGATTATTTCAAAGCCAAACAGCTCTCAGAGAAACAAAATTCATGTATTTCCCTTTAAGTCCTGAAAGGTTATGGATATGCTGTCATTTTATTAGCATAATTAAAGTTAAGAGCTCTATGTTATATAATGGAGTCATGTGATGCTTTTAATCTTTTCAAATCAATATATASCATTAAAATGWTGCCTAGTCCATTTTCCATAGAATRTATTCACTTCYTTCTGTGTGTAAAYAAAAAGAGCAGCAGTCCCCATTGGAGGGTGAAACTATTCTTCATTAATATWGTCCTATTTTAGATATGGAAACATGCATTTTGGGGTTTTTTTTCCACTTGGCTGACAATTCATGCTTCTGGAATCCACAATTGCTATACACACTATACACACACAAACACTCTGCACTATCTTTAACTGAAGGTTAATAGCAGGGAAAAAACTGTGAAAGACTGGACAAAAGCAAATTTAATGAATTCATGTCATGGGTGCAATGAAGTGTTTCTTGCTGCTCAGAAGGGGACAGAAAACATGCCATGCTCTGCCAGTTGAACTGTTTAATTGAGCCCATGGACAATTGCACATCTGGAGAAAAGCATGAGGGTTCTCTCCTCTGTTAAAAACACCCCCTGGCATTGTGTCCAGGTGCAAATTCCACTCACCAGGTGTCAAAGGTGGTTTGTCTCTTGGGGAGGTTGCTCCCAGTGCTGCTGTCTGGGGGTAACACCGAGGCTCTGCTGGGAACAGG